ATCAGATTTAGGCGTATAGGTTATTACACCCTTGGGTTCCTCTTTCCATGCTGGCTTTGAGGAGTCGGTCTTCCACCTCTCTTTGCTTCCTTCTCAAAGTTTCTGATTTATTAAAAAAAATTTAAACTTTAACTATTACATTAAACATTTCCCATGAAAGTATGGAGCTTTTTTAAGGGCAAAAAAATTGTTGAATCGCTAATTTAAATTAATATAATTATTGTGACAGCATTAATAATTCACATCTGATAAACCTTTTTCGTCCCACATTTTAATTTCTTTTTCTTGTTGTGGAAGTTAAAGGGTTAAATGCAGGAACCAGGACTTCTAGAAGGAGCCACAGATTTTTATATCCACTCACCTCTCAGCCCAAACAGGAAGCTCGGGATAATAAAGGATAATTGTGGGGTACAGTTCTGGGAAATGTCCTGATCAACAGTTCTCCGGACTTCCTGAATGTCTTTCAATGTTTTTTTTCTTCCCCCTCAGATTCAGATTTGAACCTGAATGTTATTTACTTATCACGCTTCCTGACTTATGAACCATTCAGGCATTAAAACGATCCCAGGGTGATTCTCATTGCCAAGGAACATTGCCTTGATGTCTTGGCCCCGCCCCGGTTGCCTAGGAGATGTGTCATCGGGAGCCGCCAAGACGTGTTCCAAATGTTCATGTTCTACCGAGGCGTGTGTTCTCCATTTGTTAGCCGTGTAGCTAGATGAGCGAGGATACACGGGAGGTGTCTTGTAGCCTAGCCTTGGTCAAAAATTACCCACAATACACCACAGTATTTTCAAAGAGACGGCGGATCAGGATCAGAAGCCGGCAGCTATGTTGGGGACAGTTTTCAAGTTTGAATGTAAGTCAGCTAATTTAAAATGTTTTTTTTAGATCCAAAGAAGTTATCTATGGTTGGTTAGTAGTTGCAGCTTCGGTGGCTAGCGGGTAGTAACTCACTTATATTTTTAATTTAATAAACATAAACACAATTTAAAAAGTAAAAGGCTCGTTATATATTTATATTGAAACTAATACATATAAAATATAACATTATCTCCCAGGGATGTGTCTTTTTGAAATTCTGGCGATACGATACATATCACGATACAGGGAAGACGATACAATATATCACGATATGTTGCGATACACTCAGTCAGACGTTACAAGCAATTTTTTTTACTGAATTTATTGTAAGAATGTTCAATAAACAGTCCAAACTGATACGTAACATGTTTAACATGAGGTATCTGAACCATGATGGAGGGATTTACATTTCAGAGGTGGAAACTAAACCCGTTGCACACTGCTGCCATAAAAATTCAAAACTCCGTAAAGTCCCTTTAAACTTTGGTTAATGTTTGACTTTAACGAGGGATGAGCCGGATACTCATCGGATAAAGCATTTTTGACGAATGAAACGAAACTATTGGCTCTTTCTCTCTGTCTCTGTCTCTCTCTGAGTGATACAGAGGGTACTTCAAATTTCCTAGTTCCTACTGCATGAGTTCAGATGTATTAATCCATGCACTTAAATATTAATGTTGTGATTTTATTGAAAAACTTGTTCTGTAACAGTTTCTTTACTTTTGTGATCAAAAATATTTAATCTCAGTTCTGAGGCTGCTCTATAAGTAGTTTTCAAATAAACAATACACATAGCAACTTCTGATCAATCCATATCAATTTCAGACTTAAAATAATACATTGATGTAAACCACACCCACTTCCGGTTAAACTACGCCCACTTCCGGGTTAGGCCACACCCACGCCGAGTACAGACACAGATCATTTAGATGGTTGAACAGATACAGATAGTGGTGTACTCGCTCATCCCTAATTTTAACACTGAGGGATACACAAAATGAAGGTTTGAGAGTTACTGAAATTGACAGTTCAAAGACTGATTCGGTTCGGGAACTTTTTTGTACGTTCGTTCTGTGTGTTTCATCCAACTGCATTACTCTGTTCTTTTTAACGCAGCAAAAGGATTGTTTTTACCTTGGTTCGCTGACGTTTCCGATAAACAAAACAAGGTCAAAACAATCCTTTTACTGTGTTAAAAAAGAACCAAGTAATGCAGTAGGTTCAGGAATGTTGTCTTTGGTGTAGCATGCAAGTGAGTTGGGACATGTCTAGACATTGGTCATGAAAAATCAGCTCTAGAAACATCAGCAGCAGCACATTCGGCCATCGGATGACCACCACCTGAACATATCTGCAATAGGAAAACCAGCATCAGACCATCTCTGTAGTCAAGACTCCGTTGTGATAAATAAAACTAGTTTTGAGCCATAAAATGATTTTTAATGTCTCGTCATAGTAACTTTTCTTTCTTTGGCATTTTACTTTGACGTAAACACTCTTTGGAAAAAGGCGGTGGTGCACCATCAGGTGCACCAAAAAAAACAACATTTATGGTAAAACCCTCTAAAAAATAAATGCAAAGTCTGATGTTTGACTGCGAAAAAACAAACAAATAACTATTGATTGTGTAGAACTGTTGTTTAGCCTGACGGAGACAGGGAGATGAAAGGAGATCCTATCAATAGATCTGCAGGTGGGGTCAAGTGCAACCGTAGTAGTGACTTCTATGACATAACAAATATAAACATGTAATAATATCAGTCACACAGCAGTATTCAAAGCAACCATTTACACCAACGGTTATATTTTTAACTGAAAAGATTCCACAATCATCACAGAAAAGTAGACGTTCCTTCCACAATGCTGTGTTACGCAGACAAAGTTTAATTTCTCAAAGAAACTCATTTGTTTTTATGTAATACCATTTCTGTCTACATACAATTTTTTGAAAATGATAAAATATTTCATTAGAAACAGAACCCTAACCCTACATAACAATAATTGATTTGGGAAAGGTAAAAAAAACATTAATTTTAATTTAGTCTGTGCTTATTAACAAAATGTGAAAGGTGGAACTATAAAGTAAGGAAGTGCAGCGTCCGGACCGTTTATGGGGAAGCACATAACAGGAAGTTTTAGCTGTAAGTAAAGAGCCGGGCATTTTCTCAATAGGCGTCCTTGTCTGAACTTGTGAAGCGTCATCAACGTCGGCCCAAGTACCGATCGAATGTAAAGTACGCGTCATTCAATTCAAAGATACTTTATTAATCCCAGAGGGAAATTAGAGTCATGGCATCAAAGTACCCGGATGTGTACTCGCAGGAGAGAAAGCTCATAACTGTAGTTTTTGTATATCAAAGCGACAAATAATATTACATAAACAAAGCTACCAAACTGGCAAGAGGCTAGAAATTTGTCCTGTCATGTCTTTTTGTGTCTTGTGTCATGGGACAGTGAGAAAACATCATTTCAACTCCTTTGGATGTCACGTGCATGTGAAGAATTCCACAATAAAAGCTCTCTTATCTCTTAATGTTGTGTGATATTGTAGATAATTGTGTGTAATCTGTAAACCTTGCTGTGCGTGTTTGGATTTTTCACAATCCCTCAAAATGCTAATTAGCTAACCCACTATCAGAATAGCAGTTTTGATAAAAAAAAAACGACTTTTTTGCTGCATTTAACAGCGAGAAATGCACGTATTTTATCAATTTTGAAAACAAATTTAGTCAAATATTGTACAAATAAAATGTATTTATTGTTATTTAAGGGACAAACTAGACCTTTTTGGATTTCAGGTGGCTTTTTTAAACATAGCATAAAGCTGTGCTTGTGGCCATAACGTAGTTGCCACTTTCCATGGCCTTAGTCAGTCAGTCAATCAATCAATCAATCAATCAATCAATCAATCAATCAATCAATTTTTATTTATAAAGCGCTATTCAAGCAAAGTGCTTTACAAAATGACCCCAAATTCCCATAACAGTTTAAAAACATATGCAAACACACAAACATCAATAAAAATGTATATTCGGCTGAGTCCAGATGAGCCAAGTAAGGTAAGGCAAGGAAACGTCATCAGAGGAGCCGTCTGCCCTGGCAGCATCAGGTCTTCCACACTAAGTCAGGGCGCTCAGAGGAGGGGGAGCATAGACCCCCACCTCCATTTAAACACTACCTATAGAGCGCCCAGGAAGCAACAGTTGACCACCGCCCCAGGGGCAGAGGGCCCCTACAGAGAAAACACTGGATCAAAATGAGTTAAAATATGAAAATAAGAGCTAATATAAATGACAAAAGTAAGAAAATAAGTAATAAATAAAATCATATAGACAGTAAAATTATATTAAATAATGAAACTGTGCTAAAATATAATCATATAAAACATGCAATGCAAACAATTAAATATAATCCTGTAAAACGAGAAATAAAACTATAGTAAATATGTTTACATTTTCTGATATAAAAATAAAATGTTTAGCTAACCTAAATAGACGGGTCTTGAGCCTGGACTTAAAAACATGAACGATCTCTGCAGCCCAGAGGTCCTCCCGCAGCTCGTTCCAGAGGCGAGGGCCTGGAAGGATGTGAAGCTCACTAAACTCACAGCCATTTTTCTTTTTCTTCGTGTGACGTTTGAGGGCGCAAACTTAGTGAGACGAGCAGTTCCTCACGTCTTTCCACACAAACCCTAAAGCAACTTTTGCCGCCTAAAGAAAATAAGTGATTTCTTCGCTCCTAGCGTCCGGTTCAGTTTATTTTTTCAGTAGGGAACCCCTCCTGGTGGAGGATCTACAGGTGGAAAGGGTCCATTTTATTTCTTCATGAGTAATTGTGGCCTCAAGTAAAATAAAAGCAAAGATGGTTAATGAATGACTAATACTTTTTATTGTCCTTGACATCTTCCATCAAGATTTGAATGGGTCTGTGATTTTGTAAGCCCTCACATCGGTAAAACTCTAAATATAAATATTTTTATAGTGTTTTGTTCTTCAACAGTCTGTTATTTCCCTCCAGTCGCCACTTTAAATGACTTTGTGCCTCAAATGGCCACAAGTTGGATGTCCATGAGGCGGGTGAGGTGTTGAATTCCCAGGGTCTGATTTACAGAAGAGTGAGACCGGAAGTTGTCCTACCTGGCCGTGTTGAGCAGCGGGTGCTGAGTCCCCACCAGCTTCCGGACCAGCATGGCCACGTTACTGAGCTCATCACTCAGCAGGCAGCGCAGACTCATGAACGACGTCGGATAACCCACGATCTTCTCCGCATCCGACACCACTTTGCTCCAGTTGGACGGTCCGGTCTGGCTGGAGAACAGACTCAGAGTCCTCTGTCCCCGGATGGACATGGACAAGCGGGACAGCGAAAACATGTCTACTCAACTTTTAACGCCTGTTAAACCCCGCGGATCGGTAACGGTTACCGGATTATTTACAGATACGAGATGTTCTTCGTGTCCGACATGCTGCCACGCGACGACAGAACCCGCTTTACTCATTCAGATGAAGTACGAACGACTGGAGTTGTTTCACAGGACACAACAGGGCGCCGCCATGACTAATGTGACGTCAAGCTCACTTCCGGCGGAATATCGAGTTTCAAATTAAATGTTTTTCTTGTTTGTTTTTGACATTATGAAACATTAAACTGTTACCAGAAATACACATAAACTACAAAATAATGTTTTTTAAATATCAAATTTGTTAGTTTGTCACATTTATTTTTAATTGTTATAAAAAATTACTAAGGCTGCTCAGTGGCGCAGTGGTTAGAGCTGTTGCTTTGTAGTGATGGGAATTCCTGCTCTTTTTAGAGAGCCGGTTCGTTTGGCTCAGCTCACCAAAAAGAGCCGGCTCTTTTGGCTCCTCAGATTTTCTGTTGCGTAGAATCCATTTATAACCAAAATAATGCAAAACTATATGTTAAATGATTTACTAATCTAAAAAAAATGCAATATATCAAATATTTATCAGTTCTATGGATTTAATAACTGATCACTTTGAGAAATCTCCACTTTCCGACTGCTGGCGCTCATTTTCTCACCGCCTTCATCACACTCTCCTCTCTCTCTCTCTCTCTCTCTCTCTCTCTCTCTCTCTCTCTCTCTCTCTCACTCTCTCTCTCTCTCTCTCTCTCATCTATTTCCTCCTCCTCATTCCCTCTCGTCTCCCTCCACCCGCACTTGCTCTGCTGTGTGTCTGAGTCTGATCCTCCCTCTTCCCCGCCCCTACTGCTCTGTGTGTGGACAGTCTGGACACGCAGTTACACATGTTGACCAATCACCTAGCTTTCACCAAAGCAAAAGGGGAGGGGGGAGGGAAGGGGATGGCTCCCAAAGACGAGCCGGCTCCTGTCGTTCACTTCAAAGAGTCGGCTCTTAGAGCCGGTTCGTTCGCGACGGACACATCACTATTGCCTTGTAGCAAGAAGGTCCTGGGTTCGCTTCCCGGCCTGGGATCTTTCTGCATGGAGTTTGCGTGTTCTCCCTGTGCATGCGTGGGTTCTCTCTGGGTACTCGGTTTTCCTCATGACTGTTAGGTTGATTGGTCTGTCCAAATTGTCCTTAGGTGTGAGTGTGTGTGTGCATGATTGTTTGTCCTGTGTGTCTCTATGTTGCCCTGCGATGGACTGGCTCTCTGTCCAGGGTGTACCCCGCCTGATTGCCCATTGACCGCTGGAGATAGGCACCAGGTGCCCCCCCGCGACCCCGCGTGGACAAAGCGGGTTCAGAAAATGGATGGATGGATAAAAATTACTACAGCAAGATTAAAGGAACTAATAAGTAATTTATGTCAATTATTATGTGGCCTATGATAACAAAAACCAGCATAATATAAGCTGTTCAATATATCTTCAAGATGCACATAATCTATTGTCTCATAATTAATTGCATTAAAACATGAGCTGTGTTTGTATTTCTGGGCATTATGGAACATATGTAACTGAATAAGTAGTTTTATCTTTGTTTAAAGTTTAAAGAGTTTTTTGTTTTGTTTTTTAAAGTCACAAGAACACATTAAATAGTGTTGAAACCAAACAGTGTTACTGGTCAGTTGTGTTAATAAACTGGTTGTTTAGATAACTTTTAATGCAGCAAACATAGGAAGACTAAAATAACCGTCTAACTGTATGTTTACATTTTCTGATATAAAAATTAAATGTCTAGATATTAAATAAGGGAAAATCTCTATCAAATATTAAATCAAACTCTCATTTTTTTTAATTCTTGTGCTGTTAAGTAAGTCTTATTTCAGTGATCAGAGGGAGTTTTTCAAGGACGGATTGCACAACATCTCCCACTGACACGGACACAGAACTGGACATTCATGATCATGACTCAGGAAATCTGAGATCCATTTAATCTCAGAGTAACATGACTAGAAACAAAGGTTTTGTCATCACTTTTAGAGAAAAAACCGATGATGTTTGTGTGTTGTTATTTCAGCTTTATGACACAATATTACATCACGGTGTAAACAAAAGTGTAATTTACTCCTATTTGCCTGCATTTGAACACCAGACTGAAGGGCCACAGTTGAATCATTCCAAATGAAGCTGCTGCAGCCTGAAGAAAGAAGCTTGTGATTCAGGAGCTGCAGCTCAAGTCGTCCCAGCCTGACCCGGCATCACGGTTCACCGCTCCCGTTCCTGCTGATTTTCCGGCTCAAGTGGGTGTCACTTTGCCACGAGCAGCCTCGTCCGGATCTTTGAGGAATGCCTCTTTGGGATTCAGAGTGCTGCGGATGAAGCAGATGAACTCACACACAAAGGAGAAATGATCTGGTTCCCACACACACACATGCAGATTTCATTCACATTAGAAGAACATGAAATATTGCTTGAAATCACGTCAGAATGCATCACACTGAGCTCAGATGTGACTCAGATTTTATGTGTTTGATAGATGGAAACAGATCTGGTGTTTTCAGTGCAAAGTTTGTATGCAAAAGGATGAAAAAAATTAAATTAAACTTACTTTAAGCATGACTCATTGCAAATGTGTTTAAGTTTATAAAACAAACACGTAGCTAATTGTCATTTAAACATCAGAATAAGTATTATTTGTTTAACCTTAGATGACCAAAGTGATGCAAAAACTAAAACATGAACTCATTAATCACTAAATCAGCCAAATCAATCAACAAAGTGAGTTTTTAGTTCATTTAAAACCACTTTTATTGACCAAAGTGTAAGTAACTCAAACTCGAGAGGTGTTAGAGCAGCTCACGGTTTTGAGTTTGGATGTTAAAAAACTCCAGATCACAAACAGAATTTGCACCATTTCCTGATTTTATTCATTTATTTCCGAGTTCATGTATCATTCCAAGTCCAGGGATGATTTGAACAGGACCAGCAATGATACATGACCTGCACCTGAGTCAGAGGACTCCAAAGCGCTTTACACTACGGTGCAAACACACACATTCCCACTGGTGGGACACCTGGCTGTCCACCTGAAGCTTCCTGGCGCTTTGAGTCTGGCTTGTCCCAGATGTTCAGGATGTGGAAGTCCAGAAAGTGCCCCTGAACCTAATTTTTACTGTAAGGTCTGCGGCGTGTCCTGACGCGGCACCTGTTCGCCACGCGCGCGGTGACGCGGCAGCGCCGAGCGGAGGAAGCGCTTCGCGGGAAACTGAGAAGAAAATTCTCTGATCGTCAGCGCGTCATATAATGTTTCAGCGGACGCCCCTCCCCCTGTCTCGCTTTCTCCCCTCACTCAACCTCTCCGTTGACTCACAGAGGCGGCTCACCACTGGCGCACGGACCGCGGAGGATAGGGGCAGAAGATGGCTGACTCTGCCGGGCACCGCGAGCCCTCGGCGGCATCACCGGCTTCACACGGGCCGCTGAAAAGCTGCGAGACCCCCGCGGTGAGGCGGCTGTAAACAGCTGCCTCCCCCCCCCCCCCCCCCCTTCTCTCACCCCCACCTCTCCCCTCCTCACCGCAAACATTGACAGAAGTATCACAGAGAAAACATGGCAGAGATGGAAAAAGAGGGCAGACCTCCGGAAAGCAAGAGAAGCCGCAAACCAGCTCACCCGGTGAAACGGGAGATAAATGAGGAGATGAAGGTAAAGAGGCTCCGTGTCCAGCTGCGTGATTACGCGTGGAGCGATTGTGAGCGTGCATGCGTGCGTGTTGGAGCAGGACTGGTGACGGTCTCTTAACTGCATCTGGCAGCTTGGAAACCAAAACTTTCATTTATTATCTTAATGACCAGACTCTGCGGCGCCCAGAGGATGCGTTAGGAAGTTAAACAAAAACCCTCTGGCTGTGCGCTGCCTTTCATGGCAGAGTTAGTGGAAAATCCGGTGCGTCAGTGAAGGCGTCAACAGTGCGTATTACTATTAATACTAGTTACCGGGGAGCGGGGAGCGCCGCCGGTGCGCATAATTAGGAAATCAATGGGGGGAAGACTCGGTGTGTGTGTGTGTATGCGCGTGCGTGTGTGTGTGTTGACCAGCTGCCCAGAGGCGTGATCCAGATGTGCGCCTGGGAGCTTTTTACGCAGCACATTGTGTCCGTTTCCTCCGCGTTCATCTCCCGCCGCGCGTTGTTTCTGTTGGTGGTATTTTTGTGATATTTGAGCTCCGTGGGGTTCATTGTGGAGAATGAAAGTCTTCCTCTGTGGGTGTGTGTGTGTGCGCGCGCGCGCGCTCGTGTGTGTGAGGCAGCCTGCTTTGTCTGCATCTCCTCATTGTTTGTATACATTTGACTGGAGACGCAGAAGCAGCCGGTGTGTGTTGTTCTTTATTTATTTCTGTCATTTGGGGGATGGATGTGTGTGTAGGTGATCAGAGAATAACGACAGGATTTGTGATTTTTAAGGTGCTGGCTGCAAACCAACCTCTGGAATTAAAGCCGCGCGCGCGCGCGTATGTGTGTGTGTGTGTGTGTGTGTGTGTGTGTCGTTTTCAACTATTAATGCCTAAATAATGTGCATTTCTTCATATTTAGGCTCTTTTTTGTCATTAATAGTTCAAAGATGCTTTCAATAGCACTAAATCACATTTAGTGCATCAAGCTGCAGGTGCATGCCTTCAGTCTCAGTGGAGTTTTCCCAACCTAAAAACCTGCTTTAGCCTCTTTATGGTGAGAATTAAAACATTATGGATTAATCTGAGTTTTGAGGGGAAATGAAGTAGAATAAATCTTCTTTATTTATTTACTTATTCATTCATTTTGGTCCTGATGTGAGAGAGAGGGAGGTGAGTGTTGAACTGGGGGTGGGGGGGGGGTGGGGGGGGGGGGGGTCCCTTTGTGAATAAATGTTATTATTGTATATTTTTAGAAGTTAATCTACTAAAATAGAGAAAATCTTCAAATAGATAAAAAAAATCCCTTTTGCTTATTTATCAGGCTGGATTCTATAAACGGTAAATGATAAATTTATCAGGGATAAATAAGTAAACAAAGAATAAAACATAAATAAAGAATAAAACAAGCTGTGTCTGATAATAATTCATCGTGGAGTAATTGCACCGTGCCAGTCGTCATTCAGAGAAGATGTTTTATTTGCAGGTCTGTTTTTTCGCTGTTAGATGAAAGATTTATGACACAGACCAGGATTCAGCGAATTGACATCTTTTATAATAAGAGGTGACACGTCAGTTAAACATCTCTTTTGATGGAAGCCATGTAATTTGTCATCAGGTTGGTCCTGATTTTTAGAATATTTCTTTCATTTGTGAAGTTTCTGTGTAATTTTTCCCTCGCCTGTGTAAAAATATCTGGTGGAGCTAATTAAGAGCTGTTTAATGATGCTTCAGGGAACAAATGATGATTCTCTCAGGTCTTTGCAGGCTGACTTCTAATTTACCGGCATTCTGATGGTTTTCTTTTATAAATCAGGCTGAATTAACAGAATGTGTCAGGTCTTTGGTACTAAAATGTCTCCCAAATGGCATAGGTTCAGCTAAAGAAGTGTTTGAGGATAAAGGGCCAAGTTTACGATGAGTCCACACAAATATTTGTTGAGTTTAAGAATTCTTTGTGTTTATAGGTAATAAACAATTAAAAACCACTCTGTTATTGATCTAAAGGGGCATGAAGATGCAGCGAAGTCCAGAGAAAAACTCGTGGGGATCAATTTAACAGATTTCTGGAAACTTTGAAGCCGAAAATGAAGAAATGAGAATGAAACTGGCAGCAGTTTGGCACTGTCCGTACCGGAAAGGGCATGGAAACACTTTAAACTGGTTTGACTGGAGCTGCATCAAACACCCAAGCTGCTTTTTGCCGTGCGTTCAGGTTATATTCACTTTCTTTGATGTGTTTAGGGTTGTTTTACACGTCTATGCTGACCGTCTATCTAAACGGTCCTGAATCAGATGCACACCTGATTCATCTGACCTTTACATTGATGTGTGAGACAAATCTGCTCCAGAGGAGGTGAGACGCAGCTTGATAAACAGTAAGCTTGTTTCAATCCTTCGTGTTGATCTAGTTGGACTTGGCCCTGATGCGCACGCTCTGACGCGCTTCAGGGCCGTAGACGAGTCGCATTTACGTCACAATAACATCAAACCACAGAAGGGTCAGAATTAAGATGTAAACTCAGTAAACATCACAAGTTCAGGCGTTTGGTTTCTCAGCTTCTATGCTTCCTTCACACCTGATGACATCACCTGGGATCCTCCATCAGGATGAATTTAGTTTCCTTTGTGACCCTGTCCATCAGACTGCAGTCTGAGCCGTCCACGGCCCTGAAGAGGCGTCACGAGCAGCACGTTGTGCTTATGGACGTAGACATGGACGCTGAACTTGTCAGAGCTAATATCATTCTGACTGAGTGATGAAGTGAAGCTTGTTTTGATTATTTACATTTAATAATCAGACATGGATCCAGTCTAGGACCACAGGAAGTCAGATATGGGTCGCATCTGAGCCCAACAAGTCAGAATTGGGCCTTTTTTCTTCTGCATTACAAACAACGTGGCCTAGATCTGCATTAGGGCCATTTTATTCCAGGAGTTAGCCTTCACCCTAATGTCTTATTTATGTTTTTCATCTCTGTTTGATGCTTACTGAGGTTAAAGATTGAATAGAAAACCTCCTGGACGCTTTAAATCTTCACACAGAACCACATTAGTGCATTTAAATAAAACCAAATCAGGTTCTTAATTGTTTTTATATGAAACTACATCCCCAGTGCTGCTCAGACAGCGTGTGCTGATTCATTTCAGGATAAATTTAGAGATGAAAACACGGACGAACAACGCACCCTTGTGAGGGATCCTCAGTCTGAGGTAAAACAAGCCCTCGGTGAGTAATCCAGGAGGAGGAGGAGGAGTGGGCATGGACGGGATCGGAGATGGGCTCACAAACGAGGAGAGAAAGGAATGCCAACGCCTCTGGTCCGGCTAAAGCTGTAAAAACTGTCACCGGAGCGTCTCGGCTGGATCGGATATCAAGGGAAAGTGGAGGGGACTGAGAGCAAAGGCTGCATGGTGGCGCAGTTGTTAGCACTGTTGCCTCGCAGCAAGAAGGTTGCAGGTTCGAAACTCGGCTGCAGCCTTTCTGCGTGGAGTTGCGTGTTCTCCCCATGCATGCGTGGGTTTCCTGCGGGTACTCCGGTTTCCCCCACAGATCACAACATGCCCTATAGGGTATAAATTGTACGTCGCTTCGGATAAAAGCGTCTGCCAAATAAATAAACATAAACATAAACAAAGGAGGCAGCGGGGGAGTGGAAAACGGGAGGAAGCCTAGGGAAAGTTGGCTTGTGGATTTGGGAATTTTATCACAGTGTCCTGTGACCTGATCTGGTTTCTAACCACAGGCTTTGCTTTTCCAACATCACCGTCCCTGCTGGTGGTGTTTGGGTCTGACTGGAGGAAAACCAATCGTTGTCGTTTGGTAATCCAAACTTCTGGATTCCACTGATCCAGAAACCTTCATCCAGCCTCGGGAACGATGTCCATCAGACTAAACCTCACCTGTAACAGTGAAAACTGTTGGTAGATTTTAAACATCGTTAAAGCTTCAGGGCCTTGTTTTTAACCACAAACATTCAGATTTGGGCCTTTTCTGTTCACCGTCGCAGCTTCAGTTTGGAGACAGATTAGTTCTGATCAGACACGCTTTAAAGGATTTCAGCTTTGTAACCTTTAGTAGTTATTCTCATAATGAAATTCCTGCTATTAGCCCAGCAGCTGATTTCCACTGCGAACGACCTCGTACGTAAATAAGCGTGTTCGGTAAAACGTGCGCTGCTTTAGGTTCATCTTTGCGTGATTTGAGTCATTTTATGACCCTTTAACACCCAAGCTCAAGTCCAGCACCATTCCTGGTTTCTTTATGTTTTTGTTCAAGCAGCCGGATCTTCTTCATTCTGTTCTTTTAAAACAATTTTGTTAAGTAAAATATTTGAGTCATTTGAACTTCCTGAGACCTGACATGTGGCTTGCTGTCCTATCATGATTCAGACGTGTCTTCCTGTAATCCAATTTTAGCCACTTTCTTTATTCTGCTGTTTCATAACAGATGTCCCAGCTGTGTTCTCATCGTGTTTAGAGTCATATGAATAAAGTTGGGTTGAATCTAGTGGGTATTTAGTTGAAAAACCTGAACGTTTGTTAGAATCTTCTGGCTTTAGAGTCATTTCTGAAGCTGTGGTGGCCTCATGGAGCGGGCCATCGGCTTGAACACTGCTGCTAACCATTTAAACATTCTCCCTCTTCTGATAATAACTTTTTACTCTCTTTGGCGTTGGATGTGCTACTACTAGTTTACCCGTTTAATTATAGATCCACTAGGATAAATACAATAAAGTTTATCTCTCACCAAATAGAATATTTACTAAGAAATCACAATGTAACCATAGATACACTACTTGTGTGTGTGTGTGCGTGCGTGCGTGCATGCGTGTGTGTGTGTGTGTGCGTACGTGCGTGCGCGTGCGTGCGTGTGTGTGTGTGTTTGCTCTGTCTTCTCCATTCCCAGTGAGTCGTGGAGGATGGCTGCTTATACTGAGCCAGGATCCTCTGGAGGTTTCTTCCTGTTAAAAAGGGAGTTTTCCTCTCCACTGTCGCTGCATGCTTGCTTAGTATGATGATTGCTGTAAAGACTC